AATAGAAGGTGTCTTCGGCATACTGAGTTAGGAAGGCCCTTTAGAGATGCAAAAGGCCTTTTAGGTCGCAGTTTCTGTTGTTCTTACAAACCCATGCGTTAATCTAGGCTTAAGTCACTGTTTGCATACAATAAAGGAGTGCACTAACTCACTTAAAAATTGTAGTTGTTGTGCGTATATCTGACAGAAATTGGTGGAAGTAATCGTGAAGCGATATTCTTCTACCCTGTTAAGGCAGCGCTATGACAGTAATAATGCTATATACTTTCAATTTCCTTTTCATTGCGGCTGCTGCGGCAGAAGTCATTGCTGGCGGGTTCAATCGCGTTCTTACTGAAGTAGCGGTTTTTTTTTAAAGGAATGACTTAATTGCACCTTTTATTGCCACACAGAAGTCAGTGGACATATTGCACACCTATATCTAAAGAGAGCTAACTTAAACAAAAAAAACTCTAGGACAATTTTAATGCTAAATTCAAATTCAAATTCACTGACCAAAACAAGTATTGATTCTCAAGTCGATAAACAAAAATTTTTTTAATAAAGTTTAAATCCAAATTGATATCCAAGCTTTTCTCAAGTGGAGAACTCAGCTTGTTTTGCATAAAAAAAATTGCCCTTTTTTTTGAGGTACACTTGAAAATCAACATTGGTAATTCGAATATGTATTGGATCTTCACTTGACCTCCAACCCAAATGTTTATTGCGAAGAGTTGAGGCTGAGGTAGCACAGAGGCATTTTCGTACGGAGTAGAGGATTTCTCTGGACCTGTCCTTACATATTATTTAACCGTTTCGCTTTTCTGTTGATTCCCCTTGGAATTTTATCTAAACTCTCTTAGTTTTCGAAGAAGTCGTCCCCAAAAAAATTCACGACTTCTTATGCAAACTCGAATAGAAAGTTGTTGATGGATTATATTTTTTCCTTAGCGGTATAACTTCCAGAAAAATGTGAATTTCAGAAGACGAAATGTTCAGAAGTATTTCTAATCCGACTTAAGGCCTCCTTAAGTAGCTTTTGAAATTTGTCTGCCCTTTAAACACAAATTTTGTCTTAAACAAAATACTAAAAGCTACTTGAAGAAACGGCCCTTAGAGACTCAAGCGAATTGCTCCAATTGATTGAAGATATGATTATCCTTTTATCCTTTTGTAGACTGATTAGATAGAATTAATCCAGTTTTGTAGCGGTACGAAACAGAAAGCACTTCATGAGCATGAGTTTCCATAACAGAAGAGAAAAAAGTACAACCTGAGGGAAGGCTCATGTAGCCGTTTTTCTTACATTAACGATTTCCACTGACACATTCTTCTATTATTTCTGTTAGCCTTAGTGGCAATTGTTCAACGAATCCTTCGCCAGCTGGTCTATTGGCAGATATTTTAGCTAGTTATGATAAATAAGAATATTTTGAACCTTAACAAAGAAGCAACAAATCTGCTTTGGACACAATTAAGTCCCAACCATGATTTAACTATATTTTTTAATAAGATAAAATTTAGTAGCAATAACAACAATCCAGTATTCTCTTTGATTTTATCTAAGCCATAATTTTTTCCTCTAATGAATAGACATATTAATTACACCATAAACCTATTTTACATTGATCAACATACCATTGCGAGCGCTCCTTAGCACCTCGAACCAAATTTTAATTTGCGCTAATTTCTTGAATCTGTGTCAAAAATGTCAGGCAATGCATTAAATGCATAAACATTTTAATTAATATTGTGCAGCAAAAGATAATCAAATTAAATTCCCCAACACCTGAATGGCAACGGAAATAACTAGCAGCCATAGCAGTGGCAATAGCAAGAGTGTTGCCGCATAACATATGTAGCAGCGGCTAAACTTACCACATAAATATGTGGCATGCGCTTACATACATACATATGTATGTGTGTAGCCATGTGCGCGCTTATAAAGAAAATGTAGCCATACAACTCCGCAGCCAATGAGCCAACACGCCGCGGTGTTGTTGTTAAAGCAGCATGCAATCTTCATACATAGCTACAGCTTGGCACGCGTATATGCGACGATAAAAAATTTCCAAACATAAAGATAAGAATGAAAATTTATAACGAAGCGCGCATTGAAAATCAATTAAAATTAACAACAACAATATAAAATACAATAACAATTACAAAAATAACTAAAGCGCACGTAACTAAATGTAGGAGATACAATAAAAACAATTCAATGGCCATAGTAGAGGTGAATGAGTAGCATAAGGAAAGCGACAAAGTAAGATTGGAGCTAAGCAAAAAGGCGCACATGAAGAGCTCATAACTTGCAGCGCGTGGCATAAATGAAGGAATATATGTGTGTGTGTGTGTGTGTATGTGCCAGTAACTGTTTCTTCATGCGGATGCTGTTGTGGCACTGCTGTTGTGCTATCATTGTAGTGTAGTATAGTTATCGCTGCACCAGCATATAAACATTCAACTATTTTATGTTAGCTGCCACAAGAGCCTCTGTGCTGCACCATTGCTGCTGCCGTTAATACATATCAGCAGCGCTTAATATATGTCTGCGGCAGCAAGTGCGTGACGTACACATAGATATATTCTGAATAAACAAATAAAAGTTGAGGAAAAAACCAAAACAGGTAGGCGATAATATATAACTTTAGAGCAAAAAATGAGGACAAAGGCGAAAATGCGGCGAAGAGGTGCATACATGCAACATGCAACAAGGCAAAATGTAAGGAAGTGGCAACAACGAATTATGCGCTATTGTCAATAAAGTTGACGGCAATAAAAACGTTGAATGAATGAACTCAGCAGTAGCGGTGGCGTGGCAGAAACAACAAAGGCATCAACAACACTGGTGACAATATCGCTGTTGCTGACATGGTGCATGCCACAGTTCGACGGCTGCTGCGGCCATTGATGACGCACCCGAGTTGAGCACGCGCGTCTTGCAAGCGCATTCAATAGCTGCCGCTATCTTTCGTGTCATGAGCAACAAGAAATTTAACACCTGAGCCGACTGCTTGACTGTTCCGGCAATGATCTGGCTGTCATTAGCAGTATTAACAGTTTCAGCATCAGCAATGTTAATCGATGTGTTTATTAGCTGTGTTAATGCTGCAAAGGTTGCGTCCATTGCGGTCACTTTCTGTGGTCTTCTGATGGACGACTTTTAAAGCATTGAATTTGAGGTGAAATATCTCTACATTTGGTACGGCAAAGAGCTATTCTATTACAAGATTTTTGCGGTTTTCGGAATTTGGCCGAATTGTTGTGGTTCTATCTTTAAAACTCTATCATTTTTTTATATTTTTTTATTTAAAATAAACATTCTCAAGACTTCTCCAAACCCCTCGCATATTTTTTTTTTTGATTTGTTAAACAGGCAGACTTTCAGGATTTCGTCCTGATTTTTTTCGAAAATTTTCATAATATTTTGTGCTTAACGGGTGTGTTTCTGGCTCTTAAACACCCTTTCGAGTTTTAGTTTGAGATTTTTTTTTTCGGAGATACTGAGATGTTGCCATTTAAGACCTTTCAGAGTTATTTGATATTTTCTAAGATTTTTCAGTTTTTTTGTGTGTGGCTTTCGAGTCTTTCATTTTCCAAAGAACTACGCTTCTTTTCGAGTCTTATTTTGTATTTGTTAAACTTTAAATATTTACAGATGACTTGGGATTACGTTATGACACTATTGATTTGAAAAAAAAAAAAAATTGATTGATTTAAAAAAAATTTGCCGATTTTGTGTTATTTTTTCAAGTTTCTTATATTTACATTATTCTTGGGTGTTTTTGAACTTAAAATTTTTCAGCCTTAAGAATTGTTTTAGGGTCTCTACAGAAGATTTTCGAAACCTTTCTAGGGTATTTGGGTTCCCTCTTAGTTTAAGTTTCGGTTTTTTTTTCTGCAAATTTCGTGCATTTTTTGGGTTAACATAGTATTTCTGGAATTCTGCGCGACTCTATCGAGCACTTTTCCAGAACTTTGTAGGGATTTTTATTATTTTTCAGAATAAATAAAAAAAATTATGGTATCTTTCTGGTATTATCGCAATTAGTTCTTAATTTTTAAAATTTTTGTGGCTTGTTTTTGAATTTTCATTTCAGGAGTAATTTAGGAACTTCTTGGGTTTTTTTCTTAAAAAAAATATATATATATATATTTATAAATGTATGGGATTCTCGAAATATTTTTGAAATTCCACAACTCATTCCAGGATATTTTGAGAACAGCCCATCTCTCTAGATAACTTGAAGTTTTGCCATAAGTTTTCTTAAAACCTTTTGAAGGTTCTCGGTATCTTTTGTTTAGAATTTTTTGGTAGATTTTCGCCGATGTTTTCAAATTTGGGTTTGGAGTGTTTTGAGTTAATTTTTGTAGATTTCTGCAATTTTCATAACTTCTTTGGCATTACAATTTATTCTTGCAACTCTACAGCTCTTTATTTTGCGTTTTTGGGTATTTGTGAAGACTTGTTGTTACAATTTCTTGTTTTTCGGAGATTTTACAGAATTTAGAAAGTTCAGTATGTTTTTTTTTGTGTTTTTTTAGAACTTTTCGGGGTTCCTCGACATTTTTGCAAATATTTTTTAGATATTTTTTTGAGCTTTTGGGAATTAATGGCAATTTCTCGGACTGTACGAAACATTTTCGGGACTCCTGGGGATTTCTTTATGATTTGCTTAGGATTTTTTTCGGCATTTCGAAGAGTTTACATTTTTTTCTGGAGGTTTTCGAAATACACCTTTTTTTTGAGAAGTTCACTGGATTTTCTGTTATACTATCATACCTTTGTCGTATTACAAATAAGACTAGTTAGATGGGAAGCCAAGTGAGCAAACAAATATTTAATAACGTTAACGAAATCGAGGTGCAACAAAGGATTCCTGTGATAAAAATTTATAATTATTAGCATAAATACATTCTTGCTCTTTTAAATATTACGCATAAATTATTAAGTCATTTAAACCCCAAAAAATGTTGATCTAATAACATCCATCATCTTCTTCTCTCTCTACTTTCAGTCCCCCGAATTTGACTATCGGCATGAGCTGATGGGTCGTTTGCACAAAATCGAGCCAGACGTTGAACTTGAAGTATTATCCGCCGCCGCGCCACACCACCACCACCATCACCATCACCTGCACCATCATCAGCATCATCATCAGCATTTGCATCAGCATCAACACCAGCATCAATTGTTTTCGCCGCAAAGTAATCATAGTGGCAGTAATACGCTCGATCATTGGCAGCAGCATCAACAGCAGCTGCATCACTCTGCCACCACCTCCGCCATCACCGCTGCCAATAGTAGCAACAGTGGTAGCGGTAGCAATCATGAACATGCAACTTATGTTCAACACTCATCGGCATCCACCTCGGTTGTGGTGTCGGCATCGACAACGGTTACAGCACTCTCGCAGTCAACATCCTCTGCCTCAGTTGGCGCTGGCGCTGTGCAACAAAATGCCGCGTCATCATCCTCAACATCCGCCTCGGCTAGTGATAATCGCGCCGATACTTCAAACTCTCCGCATGCGAGTGCGAATGTGTCATATGCGGGTTGTGCGTCTGCGTACGACAGCAGTGCGGCAGTGGCGTATGAAATAGCCAGCGCCTATGGTGCGACGGCGTCGGCGACCGCAGTGTCGGTACCCGATAAGGAATATTTATTTGGTAAGTTTACGATGAATGCTTAATAGTTTGTTTTACTTTTCGTACTGCTTTATGTTATTTATGCTACCGATATGTAAAATCATTTGACAAATATGTTTTGGTTTTTAATTCTGTTAGTTAATATAGGTGTGCCAGAAAATTCAGAGAATCTTTAATATACATAATAGGGCAATTTTGGCCACAGTCTTTCAACTCATCACAGTCTTTGGGAAGACAAAAGTCTTTCGTAAGATAATTATCAGATCTGGCAACTATCTTGAAAGCTCTTTAATTTCTTTCGAGAGACTAATTGAAAGATATGCTTGCGAGAAGGTCTTAACGTTATGCTGTTCACCTTTTAGCAATAAGTTTTTTTAAAAATTGAATTAATAATAAAGTATATATTTTTCTTTTTAAAACAATAACAACTTATAAATATAAGTAAGTTAAATTAAAAAAGGAAAATTATTATTTATTGAAATTAAAGCAAAAATAAAAAAAAATATTTTTTTAAAAATCACTCGAAGTTTAAAAAAAATTTTTTGGTTTTTATAACAATAAATCTAAAAATTTAATTAGAAAAAGAAAAAAAATTAATTAAAAAATTTGAGTAATTGATATTTAAAAATTTAATAAAATTAAAAACAAATATATTTTTATTTTTAAAACATTATTTTAAAAAATTATAAGAAAATTAAATTAAAAAAGGCAACAAATAAGATGAAATAAACCAATATATTTTTCTTTTAAAAATTGTAAAATATAAAAATTAAAACAAAATGAAATTAGCACAAGAAAACAAATTTTTAAAAAAGGAGAAATAAATAAAAAAATAAAAAATAAAAATTAATTGAAATCAAACAATTTTCTTCTTTGTTAAACAATAAATTGTAAAAATGAAGAAAAATGGAACTAAGAAAAGAAAAAAATTTAAAAAAATAAGTCCTTTAAAATTAAATTAAATACAACAAATATTTATATTTTTGCTTTTAAAACAATAAAATTCGCAAATTAAAAGAAAATTAAATTAACGAAAGAAAAACAAATTAATTGAAAAACACATAGCAAAGAAATACAAAAAAAATCCAAAATTAAATGAAATTTAAAACATATTTTTTTCTTTTTGTAACAACAAAATTTAAAAATTAAAAGAAAATTAAACTAAAAAATAAAGGAGAAAAATTTATTAAGAGTAGGTAAAAGATTAGATTTATAAAAAAAATATATTTTTAATTATAAAACCAAAAAATACAAAAAAACATTAAAATTGAATTAAATTAAAAAAAGAAAAAAAATGTTACTTAAACAATTGTATAGAAACCTAACACCATATTTTGAGCAAAAAATGTGCAATTTGATATCAATCACACCTAAACAATACCGCCAATTCCGAAATGGTGTTTTATGAGAATTTCCAACGTTTTCTAGTTCCACTTATCATTATAAAATATTTAGTCCTTTGCGGCTCACCAGTATCCCAATTTGGCAGCATATAAATCAATCAATCATTATGTTTCCCGTGAGCGTTAAGCTGATGCCAGATAATTTTTTGTGGCTTTGCGTGACATTTATAAGCGCAGGCACCAAACGGTATGCCACAATGAACGCCAGGGAAACAATTTTGTTCTTGTGAAAATTGTTGTGGATTTTAAATATTTAGTTTTAAAAATGTCATCAGTGTAATTATATTTTATGTTCCTGAATGAAAACTCGAATTTGGACGACACAAAATAAATATTCAACCAGCTGATGGCCATGTTATTGCTTCGCGCTGCAGCAAAAACTATCTATTAGGCATGCTTCGTGCATTTTCATAAATTTCAAGCGAAGCAGGCGTTTTATCTGGCGTCAGATGTAGTCAAAAAATAAATTATTTCGACTTCTAATAACACGGAAAATTGTATCAGAAGATCACAATGAACCGTATTAATTCATTTTCCGATCGGATAATATTTATGGCCGCCTCCAGAGCTTTAAAAAGTTTCGAAAAATCTCTGCAATTACTACTCTTTTTAACCGACTTCCAAAAAAGGAGGAGATTATCAGTTCGTCGGAATATTTTTTTATGTATATTAATAATCGCGTTGATTTTTGGTAATGTTTTTGCTGACAGTGTCTTTCATAAAAAAAAAATTGTTGCATGTACATACATTGTATGGAAAAACTGCGTGGCACAGTCAGTACAAAAAAAAATTGCTAAAAAGAAAATATTGCTTGAGAAAGATCCCTGAAGGCATTACAGTGTTTAGTGGGTGGCAAGTGTGTTCTTGGATGCCAAATGGGAATGGGAAAATTATATTACCATGCCCGATTTTTCTTATTTGCAAAAGCCGTGTTTTCGAGGCTTACAGCAGACCCTGAATTGGATCTCAAAGCTCTGCCCAATTTTACGTAACTCTAATGGTTTTTGAAGGCAGCTGCAATACACCCAAGTGTTACTTGGAAGACCAGAAAAGTTAATACCGAAATTCCTTTTCAAAGAGAGGAGGAAGGAATAACCAGACTTTAAAGGACCGCTTAGTTAACAACATTGGAGGACCGGGATAGTACAGAGCCTTTCCTCTTTAGCTGTGAGCCTGTCGCTAGTCTTATATGCCACATCTTTGAATCAGCTGCATTAGAAAGAGACAATGTTAGTGCTTTTGCTCAATAAATTACTTAGATTAATCAAAAAGTATTATTAATATATAAAATAGTAAACATGAGTATGTAGTTTGTACGTTCGCTGGCATGATCTTCAACTAAAATAAATGGATGTTATGCTAAATATTTGCTTTTGAAAACATAATATGTATTATGCTTATTTTTTTTACTAATTTTTTGCAGCTTTCATATATTTTGTTGTCACTACACCGCTGAGAGCTAAAGAGTGAAATCGTTAAAATAAATAGCGACAAAATTGATTTTTATTCACCGTTATTTACCAGCATTAGCATTTTCTTGTCAGCCCAGCTCAGCGAATACGCCACAAATAATTTATTCAGCTGTGAAATTTGAAACCAAATCTAAGCACGAAAACCTTCCACTCATTTTATCTGCCTTTTCTTTCTTAATATGTATAATTTGTTGTTGCTTTTGTTGCTACTTGATCACAAAGTGTCAACGAGTCGAATTGACACGTCGAGGCTCAAGCTCATAAGCTGTTTAAAGGGAGTTTAAATTTGATTTCCATAACTTGGTTGTTGTTATTGCCAATGCGTAGCTAATGTTGCTTCATTTCTAAATTTTGCTTCGTAATCAATATTTACCTTGGCATAAGATTAACGAAAATTTCAGCAGCTGTGAATGATGGGTTTCTCTTTTTTATGAATTTCTCACTGTTCAAGCTTCATAGCCTTTAAAAGGTGTGAAAAGTAATATGGAAATTTCGGCTGCGCCACAGTGGACATGAGACTAACACACATTAGCTATTCATTTATTTAGTCGCTCATAAGTTTATAGCTTCGGTAGCTTTTAGCTTTTAAGCTTTTTGACTTCTACGCCATTTTTATGATCTTTAATTAAGTTCTTCTTCTTTCTTTTCCAGATACCAAAAACAAAGAGGCTCTTTGCAATCCCTACGCTGACCTCGATGATCCCTACCAACGGCCAGCGCTGTGGGAGGATATCGCCAGCTCAATACAAAATATCGATCCTGAGAATGCGCTCATGCTCGGCTCAAGCTCAAGTTCAACGGTGGCCGGTGGCGCGACATCACACTTAGCGCTCATCGGTGGTGGTGGCGGCAACAGCAGCAGTGGCACTAGCAATGCCGGCAGCAGTGGCTTGGATGCGACCAACACACTGCTGCCACAAGTGAAAATGGAGGCACTCGATGATACGTTGCTGGAAACATTGTCCACCCCATTGCTCAGTCCCATGGAGATCAAGACGGAAAAGCCAGCGCTACAGCAACACACACACCTGCATGCACAACAACAACAACAGTATGCGCACTATCAACTGCCATCACAGCACCACCACCATGGGCAGCAGCAGCAGCAGCAGCAGCAGCAGCAGCAGCAGCAGCATCTGCAGCAACAACACCAGCAACACCTCTATCAACACCATCCCAGTTTAGGTGGCAATAGCGGCATTGCAGATGTTGCTCTCGCCAACGGTGATGATACTATAACGCTAATGCAATTGCATCAGCAACACCAGCAACATCATCAGCAGCAGCAGCAACATATGTCCGCCTCCTTGCATAGCAGCAATAGCAATAGTCCTAATCAACCAAATCGTTGCAGTAGCACCGCGAGCAGTCACAATGCTGAGCTGAGTGGCAGCAGTAGTGGTGCAGGTGTTAGTGGCGCCTTAAATGGCAGTGATAATAATAATAGCAATAATATTTCCTATCAACAATATGCATCTCAACAACAACAACAACAACATCAACATTTAAGTAGCAACAATAATTATCTCAATGATGGCGGTGGTTGTGGTGGTAGCAGTGGTTCCTCCTCTGCGGCGAATGTGACAATCAGCACGTCCGTAACGTTGACCAACTTAACAGCGGCAACGTCGCTGGATGGCAATGCGGGCAATAATAATAATAATAACAATAACGCCACAATGAATAACAACTTGAATGCAGGCTACGGTTATAGTTGGCACAGCAATCAGGTGAGTGTGCAGCTCGCTTGAGTTATAACATAGTTGCACATTTATTACGGTTACACTGTGCTACAAATTTTGGAAGAGAGGGAACAAATTATCTACCCATGATTAAAGCTGCCGTTCCGATCTCTGCAAGGTACAGCTGTACCTATAGCCAATTTTATACGTTTGAAAAAGTGTTTTATCATTCCAGTAGTGAATTGAAATTTCATTTTACCCTAAAAAATCTTTTTGTAGCGTATGTGATTATTCGCAGGTTCTTAAGTTTTTTAGAAAGTTGACTTTTTTATGATTCCTTAGGATATACCCTACAACGGAATTCTAAGCACAAATGTACCTACGAACAATTTAAATACAAACTGCGTGAAAATGTATACACACAAAAAATGAACCTGATAATCTCTTCACAAATACCTAAGGGTTAAATATCTCAAACGAAAATTATTTGTATATAAATACTTATAAATGCTAATAGGTTTCTATTATAGATTGCAGAGTTCATGTTTCCGCACAATCCTTAAAAAAGTTGTTTCCTGACAGCTGATGTATAGCGCTGAGTACTGGGGTAAATCAGAGGTATTTACAATAGGTCTGGCATAGCCCCATTAACCAGTGATGTTTCAGGCCCTACTTATATACAAAGATATTTTATAATTTGTATACCAGTGTAACAATTATCCGCTATTGAATTAATCAATGGCATTTAAATAATAATAAAATGCAGCTCAGCACCGACTGAATGCAATTAGTGCAGTTATAATTACCGCCTACGTGTTTTTCTTACTTTTTTTGTTTTCTCCATTTTTTTCTCGGCAGCCGTATCACCACAAATACCAAATACCGCCACCACCTCTAACAAACTCAACGCTGCACCAGCAGCAGCAACAACAACACCAGCCATCACAATCAAATCCGCAACTTTGCCCACCTGCAGCACCAACCGGCAATTCAATGTCAACGCGACACATATTCGTACCGCCATTGACGCCGCCCAGCTCAGATCCCGGAAGTCCGGGTAGTTCAATGGTTGCCGCGGTAGCGGCTGCAGCAGCAGCGGCGGCGGCGGCGGCGGCAGCTGCGGCGAATAATGGCAGCAGCAATGCCCAACAACAGTCAGCGAATCGACGCACTACACCACCGCCACCTTATCAACAGCAGCAACAACAACTGCTACAACAGCAACAGCAACAACAACAGCACCAACATCAGAATCAACATCAACATCAACATCACCAACAGGGTCGTCCACTTTCAAGTATTTGCCCCAACATTTTAACACTGCACTCGAGCACGAATGGCACGACAACAATGACGCCACTACACCCCTCCGTACACCATTTAAGTCCAGGACGTACGCTCACCACGCTCGGCTCTAATGGTTGCGGTATTGGCGTTGGCATCGATATCGGCAGTGGACTGCATGGTGTCAACAGCAATGGTATCGGCGGCGGCGTCGGCGGTGGCAGTGGTAGTGGCCTTATGGGTAACAGTCGGGGGCGAGGACGTGGTAACGGTGCTAGTACACCGGCACACCTGGCAAATTTGATTGTGCCAACGATACGCACGGTGCGCTATAATCGGCGTAACAACCCGGAGTTGGAGAAGCGGCGCATACATCATTGCGATTTTGAGGGTGAGTTATGATTTATTTTATTTTTTTTATTCATTTATTTGATCGGTACTGCTATTATTCATAATTGCTATTAAACAATTGTTTTATGGCTTAAGAAGAATAATTTGAAGAGATGTGTTGAATAGTGCAAAATTAAGGCTATCAAAAATCTGAGTTCCCGAGGAAGATTTGAAAATTCCTACTAACTATAATTTTTCGATTTTTACTTTATACTCGTATTTGGTTGTACTTTTGCTCCTTTCGATGGAAGTTTTATTTCGTAATAATGTTGGGACCGCTTGACATTAAAGAACATACTTAAATATTTCGGTCATTGAGACCCAACACACATTTAATATGGATTCCGCAATCATATATCAGGTAATTATGTGGCAGATAAACGGCTGAGAACGGCCCTCTTGTCTGCGATCAGTGCGCTTCCAGAATATCTTCCTTTAAATACTAGCAGTAGTATATCGTTATTAAAGAGGCTAATGGAATATGGACTACAGAGCCCACATGTAGCATAGCATACCTGTCCACTCTTCCGACTAGAGCGAGTACTGTTTCGGTGAGAAGTGGGTGTTATGAGGAGCCACTGTGGGAAAGGGACTTATGCCGTCAGTAAGGGGATACAGTCCAGTGACTTATGTCGCTGCTGTTGCGTTCCACCACTACTCTCTCAAGTGTTGTGACCCTGTTCTGAAGTCGCAAGCTACTATGCAAATTTATTGGATTTTCCTGAGTTTTGCACAAAGTTTACAGATTTTATGTTTATGATTTTTGGTGTAGAATGACTTTATTTTTATAAAAAATTATCGAAAATAAATTAGAATAAAAAACTTTGCATATATTGTGAAAAATTCAGTGTGCCAATACCTTTGGTAGTCACTGTATATATAGTCACATATAAAATGATAGGGACACGAAATTTTGACCAGTTTTGGCTATACTTCTATTGATTGTTTAGTGTTTATGATTTTTTTTTGTAAAATTACAGTTCATTACCTAAAAAACCTCATATAAGTCCAAATTTGAAACTTTAGAGAAAAACATTAAAAAACTCAACAAAACTTTACAACAACCCAAAACTTGTTATTAAGAATCCTTGTTATAAGAAAGGTCCAAGTATACAGTTTTATAGCCCATTCAATTCTAGCCTAAGAAAGTGCAAGTTTGAAGCGGCTAAGAAATCGCGTTGAGTTTTGATAATTTTTATTCCCGACGGGGCCACGCATTTTCTTGCATACAAATTATGTTCTAACAATTTTTTGTATAGAAGAAAATAATAACACCATCCGCAAAAAAAAATATTACAAATCAAATTTAATTTTATTACATTAAACGAGCAATACTTGTATATAAATATGTATATCCATTAGGTTCTCGGAAACGGCTCCAACAATTTTGATGAACTTTTGTAAACTGATAATGTTTTGCACTTAAAGGTTATCTTAATATCTCCGAGAGGACTCGCATAAGGTTGCCATCTATCCGAAATTAGTTACAAATTAATTAAAACATCACCGTATGGGTATCAATTGGAAGGTATTTAAAAAATCCCCAATTCAAAAATATTTTAAATAGTGTTGCCACCTATTTTGAAACGCATATTTATTTTTTTTTAGTTTAGAAAATAAGCGCTCAATATCACTATTCATGGTTACCAAGAGAAGGTTCTTAAACAATGCTTTCCATATATACTGAGTGTTATCCCTTAGGATATTAATGTAAGGTTGCCACTTATTTTCGATTCTACACAATTTATCTAAAACATCGCAACATGAATATTAAATTAAAGGTGTTGGTGAGAACTTTGGCGCGTAAATATTTTCGATCACCGTTGCCACACTACTATGTAATACAAATTTGTATTTTGTTAATTTCAATCAGCATGTTTTTTTTATGTATTCATTTCAGCGTATTTCTAAATTGGGTTGCCACTTAAATTGTAAAGCAAGAAATTTACTTTTTAGATATCAAATGCCATTTTTGTTTTTAATTTATTTCCAAAATATTTTTTTTTAAAGCTATCCAGATTACCAGTATTTGATACCCAAACCTTGAAAACTTTAAAAAGTATACGTACTTCGAGCAAAGCGCGGCCAGCCTGGTACTGGGCTATTAAACTGCATGCTTAGAGTTTTTCTAAAATTGTTACTAAAAATTTTGTTGTTGTTAAATGTTGCTAATTTTTATAATTTTTCTACAAAGTTTGAAGCCTGGACTTACCTATATGATTTTTGTTAGATAGCGAGCTGTATTTTTATAAAAAAAAATAAACATTAAACAAGCAAAAGAAAATTAGCCGAAGCTGGTCAAAATGTCGTGTGCCTATTTATTTAGCCAAAAAGAAATGAGAAGGTTTTGGGGAAATTGGAATGCAATATAAACGTGTTCTTTTCGCGTTGGTGACGGGTACCGAAGAAGTTCGAATCATTTCGGTTGGATGACAAATGTCAAATGGCAAAGAAACGAATAGCTCTTATAGTTCATTTCCACCAAGCCTTAACTGCAGTTTACGCTTATTGGAAATGAGTTTACAGCTCGAAGGGGATAATTTCTCGTATTAAGTACAAGTAACCTAAAGTCAAAAAGCAAAAAATAAAGGTTAAGGTTTTAGTGGAAACAGGAAATTAATACTTAATGGCATGGCTCTCAATATCTTATAAACTGCTCCCTTGATACCTTTATCAGCTAAAATTTAATTAAAGCGTCATTGCCACGATTTCTAAATAACTCACAAAAATCTTAAATGCTTATCATATTTTCCGGATTCGAGCAATTGCAATTACTTAGTTGCTTTTAATTTGGTTCACGTAGTCAAGGCTTCCAGTTGGCGCCATCTACACGTTTTGGCATGCATTTTCTATTCTCTTCACCAGTCCAGTTTTTTCGCAATTACTCGAAGGCTTAAGCCACCGGCTTAGCTATCATTTACGTCGACTGAAAGTAGTTTTCTTACAAAAATTATTTCTTTTACTATTTTTTTCTATCTTACACAGATTAAGCGCGTTGCTAAACGTACGCACTACAACATTTGTTTTTGATATTTTTATTTTTTCTGTTTTTTTTTTGCGCATACTTCTCTGTTTTATCACATTTCAGCTTTTTGCAACATTTTCACTAATCGCTCGACCGGATGATGGCGGCATTTCGGACAAGCTAATAATTCAAAAATATTGTCACTTAAGCTGTGCTAAGCTACAGTAGTAAGTGTCGGCTTTTCATAAATCAGAAAATGCAACACTGTGGCCGCATTTATAAACAAATAAAAAAACACGAATGATTTTACAATTTTTTTTTAATTTTTTTTTGATTCTAAATGGTATTTCCCCGCAAATTGGCACCTCTTTGGCATGCCATACTTAATCTCTGGCGCATTTTAAAAAACACACCGGTTCAGTAGCCTTAAACCAAACAGATACTATGTGCATATGTATGTATGTACAAACACACGCTCGAAAAAAGTCAGTTACAGTAATTTACGCTTAGAGTGCGTCTTTTTGTCAAAATTGTCACGTCGCTTAACTGCGTATGTATGTCGTTGCTTTGTGTGTGGAAAAAGAAAAAAATATTACATAAATTATTTCAGCATGTGCTGCATTTGCTTAGCACTCAAGTGATCCGAGTATTTGAGCGGATGCATTCGCATGCCAGTGTGTCAAGCAATATTTAATGAACTGAGCTGTCAAAACCGTCACCGAGTTTTCAAGTATGTATTTGATTTCTTATAAATATTTTTTGCTACTGTTTGTGTAAATGTGTCTAGAAATATTTGTTTGTGAAGTATTTAATTAAAAATTCATCTTGCAACACTGGATTAATGACATTTATCCAAACGAAAGATAATATGAAAAGTGCATAAAATTATTGCCGGGAAGATTTATCAAGAGTGAAATATGATTTAATTTATATTGCTCGTATTTTACAATGACCTTTGCATTCGTAGTGGCTCATCAAAGTTTGCCATTTTGAGGATTTGTAGGTAGGCAATTGACCGAACGCTTCCAGTGAGTGTTACACGCATTGGTACCTGATGGGCCTTATGAATTAAAACAAAGCAATTGCTTTTTCTCAAAGTTTCAGACCGTTTCACAGTCCATGTAAAATGTGTGAAAAAATAGAATCATGGACGGATTTAAATGAAAATTTGTTTTTCTGGAATACCGCAGGCTTACCCTGTGTTTAATTTTATTCCAAAATTTTTATTCCTGTGGTTCTCTACTATCCATATAGAAATAAAAGACGTCAAACCAACATTTTTTTTAAATAATATATTTTTGACATTTGTTTCCCTGAAGAGCTTACGCATGGCTATGCTCTTATTAAAATTCTTAGCATAAAATTTGTCGACTTTAGTGGCTTCGTGGCGACATATAATATATGTTTTTATTGAATACCAGCAAATATCCGGCGTGCTTCACTGCGCCTTAAAAGTAGTTTTGTGTTGTTACTCCCTCCCAAAACTCTTATGGCCTCATTCATAAAAAATAGAATTGGTTTAAAGAGCTTCATGAAATGAGCTTTTCAAACAAATTTTGGATTCGCGAAGCATTCTTTATTTTTTATGAATGTGGGTGTGAGCTAATATTTCGAAAGTATTTAGATTGTAGGTTAAGTATGGGATTTATCATTGCAATTTAATTTATAATCTTAAAACTCATGCCTACATATTGCGCACATTCTTCAAATTAGTACACAACTAATTCAATATTTATTTACCTTATCAATTTAAATAAATAAAATATTTCAAGCAGGTGGAAACAGTCCTCAAAAATATTTTCGGCAGCAAGCTTTCCTTAACCTCTTTAGTTTGATACCCATATTACAGTTTTCAATTTGTCTTATTAATTAAATTAAATTAAAATTTTCAAACAGGTGGCAACCTTCCACAATTTTTTTTTTTGCCTGTAAGCCTTCTCAAACCTCTTTCTTTCTACAGCCACATTGCAATATTTAATCTGTCTTTTCTATTTACATAAACTACAATTTTCAGACAGCTGGCAACTCTCTAATTTTTTTTTATGTACATATAATGTACAGACATCGACCTGTTACAATTCTGTTATGTGTATAGAGTATAGAGTGCTAAAAATTTATTTTAATTCTTAACAGAAAAATTTGAATGCAAAATGCTAGTAAAAATTAGCGATTGATCTTGAAAAAATTAAAAATGGAAACTTATACTTCTTGACGAGGTATTTTGTCTAGCTTCCGAGATAGCCCAATCGCAAAAGATGTATGGTTGTGTATTGAAAATAAATTTATATCAAAAAGAAACGATTTTTAATAAGATTAAGAAAAAATTAAAGTTTATAAGTGAACGAAATTTAAAAAAAAAAACATTATTTTTTTTTTTTAAACAATCAAAACGACAAATTAAAATAAAGTTAAATTAAAAACAAAAAACAATGTAATTGAAAAAATACAAAATTTATAAAATGAATTTTTGAAAATAAGATAAATTAAACAAAAAAATATTTTTCTTTTTAGAACAATGTTAAGGAAATTAAATTTAAAAACAATTAGAAACAAATATTGATAATAATTGATGTCTTATAGCAACAAGAAGAAGCGACATCGCGGTATGCTGAACTTGCCCAAAATCACTTAAACGGTGACAATGCCAATAAAGCTGGAGATTATGTCCTCATTCTCAATATTTTTAAGGCTGTTACATATGTAGCAGCTAATTGATTTTCGCTTCTTGAAGGCTTACATATGTGTCACTGAATTGCTTAAGTAAAGAAGTGTGGGATAGTTAAATGAAAATGGAGTTAGTATGTGGAAAATAATGGGTTTGATTTCGAGTAATTTAGAAAATAAAATTTGGTTGTCGTTTCCTAGACACATATTTGCAGTTCAGCAATAAATTCAACTCCACCGTTTCACGGGAAAGTTAACCAAATTGATGTTACGCTACGATTGTTATGAAATCAAACTTGTCATTTGGAAAACCCAAGTCAAAGTAGCATTGGTAATTTTTAAAGGACGAACACGAAATCCAAAAGATGACAAAAAAAAAAAGGCGAAACCGTAACTGAAACTGGCTTGGTTTCAAACTGTCATTGCTCTTGTTATGGCTGTCTATTTTGGCTGCTTTTTGCTGTTATTTTTCCCACAGCTTACCGACATGTGTTACATGTGCATGTGTCTGTCATGTACGTACATGGCTTTCTAGCAGACAGTCAACAACAAAAACAACAACAACAACAAACTGTATATTACAAGTTTAATGCAACCCGCGAGGCGTTTAGTCGCAAATGCATACAGATGTATGTAATGCAGAGCGACAGTTAGACACAGTGAGGCAGTGAAGTGGTGAGGCAAAAAGATGCTGGTGTTGTCTAACATGACAGTAATGTGCAACATGTGCTTGCCAAGAGAGCAACACTGTGGCGATGTGACAGTTACAATTACACACAAAATCAGCAAGTAGGTGAGCGGAGGGCAAGGTGTGATCGTAACTTGGAAAATCGCTTGCCAAGCAAGTGGGAAAGTGAAAACTCAACACTTTTGTAGTGTAGAAGGTGCGCGCATTTGTGGGTGGATACTTTGGTTTTCGTAAATGTTTGCAGTTGACATTTTTCACTTATTTAGAAATGTTTTTTTTTTTTTTTGTTATGCATGAAAATCGAAATGAAAAATATGAGACGGAAATGACAATGTTGGCACATTTCACGTTGTTTGTTTTTCATTGGAAAATTTTAGTTGGTTACTATTTATAACCGTATATGCGCATGGAATTCTTAAAATCGTTCGGAAAATCAAGAATTTTGCTAGCGATTGTCACTTTGGCTGTATGCCAATTGGTCAAAGACGGCAGGCAGGCTTGATGTTGGCGAGTAAATGATAGTTAACGCTTGTGTGTGTATTGCATGATAATGAAGAGTTAAAAGAATGAAATTTTAAAGTTGGTTTAACATGAAATTCCAAATAAGATACTTCGAGTGACAAATGTCGAATAGTTGACTGCTACCATTAAATTGTATTATACTAAAAATTTTGTAACCAACTGGTTTCTAACCAAGTAGTAAAGTTATACATATTTATTTACTCGGCGATTCTGGCGAATCTCTTTCAACTCAGCACAATCTTTTGAAAGACAAAAGTCTTTCGTTAGACAATTGTCAATTCTGGAAACTATCTTGAAAGCTCTTTTTTTGTCTTTCGAAAGACTAATTAAAAGATCTTACAACGAGACGGACTAGCAATAATTAAATTTAAAGCAATAATAATGTGAAAGAAAAATTAAAAAGGAGAAAATTAAAAAAATTTTAATTAATTTAATTTAATTATTAAAAAATTTGTTTTTTCTAAAACAATAAAATTTAAAAATAAATAAAAATAATAATTTCTGAAAATTTATATGAAAAAAATATATATTTTTCTCCTTAAATAATATGTATAATCTAAAAACTTAAGGAAAATTAAACTAAATAGCCAAAAAAATTATTTAAGTTAAAATAAAAAGTATTGAAAAAGTTTGTAAAATTAAATGAAATTGAAAAATATATGGTTCTTTTAAAAACAATAAAAACTAAAAAGAAAATAAATTAAAAAAAATAAAAATAATTAATTAAACGATAAAAAATACAAGTTTCTAAAATTTAAACGAAATTTAAAAAAAATATATTTTTCTTTTTAAAGCAATCAAAACTAAAAATTAAAGAAAATTAAAGTAAAAACACAAAGTAATGTAATTGAAAAAAATAAAAAATGTATAATATAAATTTCTGAAAATTAGATAAATTAAATTAAAAAAATACTTTTTTCTTTTTAAAACAATATAATTTAAAATTAAAAGTAAATTAAATTGTCTTACAAAAGACTTTCAACTACATATATTAGCCAGAACTTCTCTATAAGTTTATGTATGTATATTGATAATATAGATAAATTAATTACATGAAAGGAAATAACTCCAAAAAAATTTTGCCGATAGGTGGCACAGAAGTCGAGATATTTGAGAAACCCGTATCTATGGTCCGAATTGTTTCAATTTAGCAAGTTTTTTTTTTAATATTTGTTTATATTTAACTTATTTAAATACATAATTTTTTCTCTTCTGGAACCTAAAAATTTAGTAGATTTTCTACTTTCATAATAGCCGCGAAACAGTCGAAGCATTTTGTTGAATGTTTTACTATTATTTTTTAATGTTTTATTAATTTTTAAAACAGACCATCAAATTTATTGTTTAAGTAAAAAATTTTAATCGAAATTAGTTCATAAACGAATATACATAGGTATGGAATGAGAGGCCCGATGCGCTAATGAAAAGCGATACATACTCTCTCACTAGCAGAACAAAGCTTATTACGGTATTAAAAAATTAATAGAACTCCTCGCTGATTACACGTCAGTCTGTTCCAGGAATTATTAGGTTTGCTAGTCTCGTTTCCATTGTTTCTGGCCAAGCTAGTGGAAATTCGAGATTTCAGGCGGTTGAGAAGCCTTGGCTTGAGTGCTAGATATTGTGTTTATTCCTATTCCTCCTCATCCCATCAACTTTTCCATGGAAAATGTTTTTATATACACCGTCGTTGAAAAATCGGTGCAGTCCTGTAATAATGCCGGTAGTATTTATACATATATTTCCATTTTCTAGCCATATCGTTGGCTACTTCGCTCCTTCGATGTGGCTATTTTCAGAAACCCAGCAGAGAAAGAGGTGTCGACGTCACTCTGCGGTGCCATTCCTAACTTGACGTCTTAGGATACTAACGTTTTCAAGGCTTTGCAGTGAAAGTATTTAACGCCTTCTTTAGATGGAGACAACAAGCAGCCTTCTAAATTACAAAGATAAGTACTTTGCCGTAGATGAAAGGTTCTATACAGCTTTGGTAAAGAAAGTTCAAGGGTCATTATTTCCATTATGAAAAAGCAAGTTGGGTTTTAGGTAAGCAGTAAGAATATTTTGCTTTCTCATTTAGAAAGATTTTCTGTAACTAACATAACTCACTGAGCACCAGTTAATGGTATAAGCGAAATATCCTATACGATCCCAACCTCGTTTATATTCCCCAACATAAGTAAATGTTATTTTCTATATTAGTTAGTTTATTTTATTTTATGTTTATGTTATTTTAATCTTTTTATACTATGTTTGAAGAAGGAACTTTCTGTATACTTGCAAATGATGTTACCTCTTCTAAAACTTACACAAGCAGTCATAAGATTTTTGTTTCTTCGCTTTTGTCCACTTGTGCTCAGTCGGATTCGCAAATTTAACGCATTAATGGAAATGTTACAGTAGTCATAAATGTATGTTCTGGTAAATTGTATGCAATTATTGTGCTGCCTTTAGTGGAAAATCGAATATTTAAACATTTTTGTTGAACATAAAATGCGTAGCAAACCAACGTTCGTTCGTTCAGCACTGCCACTGGAGGTCAACCATTGTCAACAGGCATGCAAATTTGCCCAGAGTACTATATGCGATCAAACAATGAAATTACAAGTAAACAAAAAGGAAAATCACTGTGGTTAAACTACAAAAGCTGGAAAAAAATCGCAAAAACAAATTTGTCACTTTAAGGGAAATGTGAAAAATAAAAATGGTATCTGCGTATGTATGGATATGTAACCCAGAGCATACATACACTGGCAGTCTCATATAACAGGCCACCATTTTTTTTTTTTTTTTTAAATCAGGTAGAATTTTGTTTTTTTTTTATAATAAAAACTTTAAATATATCTACATATCTAATTTTCAAACTGAGTACAAACTTTCAAACTGCTTTATCAATATTTTTAGCAAAATTTTGACTATGCAGTTACAGTAAAATAATGTGCCAGCTTGAAATGGCCCAAAATTCTTACTTAGAAATTGTCTATATTGAAATTTTCTATATGACGCTTGCTTTTTATATGGGGGAAAATGCGCAACATCTTATCTACGAAAAAAAAAATTGTCGGAAATCAACTAGAATATGAGCTTCTTCAAACTAGCATTGAAATTTGATGGACTATAAAATTGCATACTCGAAATTTTCCTAAAAATTTTATTAAAAAATTTTAAATTTTTTATGGGAATTTGATCAAATTTTTTAAATTTTGCTCTTTACATTTGGGAAAAATCGCCACATCTTATCTACGAAAAAAAGTTGTCGAAAATCAACTAGAATTTTGAGCTACTTCAAACTTGCACTGAAATTTAATGAGCTATAAAATTGCTTACTCGAAGTTTTCCTAAAAAATTTTATTAAAAAAATTTAAAATTTGTATAGGAATTTGATCAAATTTTTTAAATTTTGTACAAAGTTAGATACTTAGATTTAAGTATATCTTTCTGTTATATATTAACAATATTACATTTTTTTTATTAATTCACAAAATTCTAACTAATTTTTTTTTAATGGTAGTGGTAATTTTTGCTGGACCGCCAGTGTATGCACTTGTATACTACAGAAAAACATTTGCTTAACTGCGCAAATCTGCTTACTCAGCTGGGCATAAGCATAAAAACTAACTGCGGATGTACATTTGTATATTTATGATACATATGCCCCGCCATAGCAGCAGCTTGCAGCATCAGCCATCAAACAACAACCACTCAGCTCAAGCATAAATGCGCAATTTCAACTTATCGTCACACCGAATGGCGAGAGAAATCTCGGAAATGTTTTCACTTCTAATTTGGGTTAATTTCCTTGCAACACCCAATGGTTGGTAATGGCAATGGCCGTGGTGGTAGCCATATGGCTTTTAACATTGTATAGTTAGTCTGCAAAAAATCCTATGTACATATGTACATACTCCAATATATATACATACATGTGTATATGTATATCTGTAAACGTTCGACGTCAAAAATACCTCTAGGCGCGCATGTATTTGTAGTTGCGTTAAATACTTTTAACCAAAATAGGCATAAAAATCTCAACACCAGACCACAAACAGTTCAAACAACAGCTACAACGCCAATAAAAACAAATAAGAAGAAGAAAAAAAAACCAAAATACAAACCAAGTTTGTATACAACAACTCCGGCAATGTTTACACGGGCACAGGTTGTGTTGTTAATAGGCTCAAGAAGCTCCGGCGACACGTTTAAAAAACGTTTACAATTTTAGCACACACAATAAGTAGAAAAAAATTTAACGAAATACCTGTGATGACGACAAATGCCAATGCGGACAACAATTGCGGTAGCAGCATGAGCAACAACAACAACAACAGCGTAAAAATGAACTTGACGCAGTGAGCGCATTGTAAGCAAAGCCAAAGCTGCTGCTACTACTGCCACTTGCTGCTAAAAAAAAACCAATTAGAAAGAGATGTTTGAACGCACACAA